TCAGGAACTATACTATGTTCCCAGGGTTCACTGGTTCGGAGGTTCATTGGTTTGATGGTTCACTGGTTCGAAGGTTAATTGGTTCGAAGGTTCATTGATTTGATGGTTCACTGGTTCGAAGGTTCATTGATTTGATGGTTCACTTGTTCGAAGGTTTATTGGTTCGAAGGTTCATTGATTTGATGGTTCACTTGTTCGAAGGTTCATTGATTTGATGGTTCATTGGTTCGAAGGTTCACTGGTTCGAAGGTTCACTGGTTCGACACTGTACCAGGTATCATAAGTGCAGGAGACTGTACACTAATTACCGTTCACCATAATTACTTTCTCATTACTGTACTTCACAAATTTGTACATTACCAAACCTAGACTTTAATCTGATCTCACAAGTACACTTTACATTGGCGGTGGTGTTTGGCATGTACAGCAGGTCACGTACAGGCGCAGGATGTAGGTGCAGGTCACGTACAGATCCAGGATGTAGGTGCAGGTCACGTACAGATCCAGGATGTAGGTGCAGGTCACGTAGAGGTCCAGGATGTAGGTACAGGCCACGTAGAGGTCCAGGATGTAGGTACAGGCCACGTAGAGGTCCAGGATGTAGGTGCAGGCCACGTAGAGGTCCAGGATGTAGGTGCAGGTCACGTACAGATCCAGGATGTAGGTGCAGGTCACGTACAGATCCAGGATGTAGGTGCAGGTCACACGCAAATTTAATGACGGACAAGAGACATATGACTAGACCAATGAAAACCTTCCACGAAAACATTGACTAATCAGAAGACGAGGAAGAACACTAACTACCTAACAGTGTAGTTGGTAGTTGTGAATTATTCCAGCCTCGCCTTTGGTTAGTATAGGATATAGGATAGTTCGGTTCATTTAGCAAGACGTCATTTGCTTTAGATCGACAATTGGAAATGATAAAGTTAAATATATTGTATTATATACCGATTATTGCACTAATTACAACTACTAATGTATTTTTCTCTATAATTACTTCAATATCTAGATAAATAATTAAACTAAATATTCACATTAACAAAATCTAAATATATAGTATAGTCCCCGTGGCCTCACAACACACCGTTTTCTTTAATAACTCGAAAAAAAAACATATCACATGAAGATTAGGAACCACAGCTTATTTCAATAGCATAGAACCTGAGGCTTCAAAACAATAGGATAGAACCTGAGGCTTCAAAACAATAGCATAGTTCCCGAGGCTTCAAAACAATAGGATAGTTCTCGATGCTTCAAAACAATAGCATAGTTCTCGAGGCTTCAAAACAATAGGATAGTTCTCGATGCTTCAAAACAATAGCATAGTTCTCGATGCTTCAAAACAATAGCATAGAACCTGAGGCTTCAAAACAATAGCATAGAACCTGAGGCTTCAAAACAATAGCATAGAACCTGAGGCTTCAAAACAATAGCATAGTTCTCGATGCTTCAAAACAATAGCATAGAACCTGAGGCTTCAAAACAATAGCATAGAACCTGAGGCTTCAAAACAATAGCATAGTTCCCGAGGCTTCAAAACAATAGCATAGTTCCCGAGGCTTCAAAACAATAGCATAGTTCGGACTTAACAATAGCATAGTTCAGGCTTCAAAACAATAGCATAGTTCCCAGGCTTCAAAACAATAGCATAGTTCAGACTTCAAAACAATAGCATGTTCCGAGACTTCAAAACAATAGCATAGTTCCCAAGGCTTCAAAACAATAGCATAGTTCGAGACTTCAAAACAATAGCATAGTTCCCGAGGCTTCAAAACAATAGCATAGTTCCCAAGGCTTCAAAACAATAGCACAGTTCTCAATGCTTCAAAACAATAGCATAGTTCGAGACTTCAAAACAATAGCATAGTTCGAGACTTCAAAACAATAGCATAGTTCGAGGCTTCAAAACAATACATTCTCAATGCTAAACAATAGCATAGTTCCCGAGACTTCAAAACAATAGCATAGTTCCCGAGGCTTCAAAACAATAGCACAGTTCCCGAGACTTCAAAACAATAGCATAGTTCCCGAGGCTTCAAAACAATAGCATAGTTCCCGAGACTTCAAAACAATAGCATAGTTCCCAAGGCTTCAAAACAATAGCATAGTTCCGAGGCTTCAAAACAATAGCATAGTTCCGAGGCTTCAAAACAATAGCATAGTTCGAGGCTTCAAAACAATAGCATAGTTCGAGGCTTCAAAACAATAGCATAGTTCCCGAGGCTTCAAGAACAATAACACAGTTCGAGGCTTCAAAACATAGCACAGTTCCCGAGGCTTCACAATCTCGTGTTTTCTTTTCGTGTTTTGAAGTAAGTCGTTATCTACGGCACATTCTTGTACAGAAGTGCTGATGTTTACACCTCTCAACTACTATAATAATATTGTGATAATTCCTGTGTGTGTGTGTGTGTGTTCGAGGGTCCGTTCATGTGTTGATGGTTAGGTTAGGTTAGGTTAGGTTAGGTTAGGTTAGGTTAGGTCCTGGGCAAGGAGATCTTTGAACCAACGAATATCTCTTAATGTCTCTTTCCGTCTAATACTGTCTATTTTCTTTTTACTGTCTATTTCCGTCTAGTGCTTATATTTCCGTCTAGTGCTTATATTTCCGTCTATTACTGACTCTTTCTGTCTATTACTGTCTATTTCCGTCTATTACTGTCTATTTCCGTCTATTACTGTCTATTTCAGTCTATTACTGTCTATTTCCGTCTATTACTGTCTATTTCCGTCTATTACTGACTCTCCGTCTATTAATGTCTATTTCCGTCTATTACTGTCTATTTCCGTCTATTACTGCCTATTTCCGTCTATTACTGTCTATTTCCGTCTATCACTGACTCTTCGTCTATTACTGCCTATTTCCGTCTATTTCCGTCTATCACTGACTCTTTCCGTCTATTACTGCCTATTTCCGTCTATTTCCGTCTATCACTGACTCTTTCCGTCTAATACTGTCTATTTTTCTTTTACTGTCTATTTCTGTCTAGTGCTTATATTTCCGTCTATTACTGCCTATTTCCGTCTATTACTGTCTATTTCCGTCTATCACTGTCTATTTCCGTCTATCACTGACTCTTTCCGTCTATTACTGCCTATTTCCGTCAATTTCCGTCTATCACTGGTCTTTCCGTCTATTACTGTCTAACCTATTTCTGTCTCTTTCCGTCTATTTCTGTCTAAACTTTCAACAACTAGAGAGATGTTAACACAACTCGCCAGTATTCTGCTGCACAGTACACATTAACGCTGAGGTGTTTGAGTTACTGGTGTATTGTGCAACGACGGCAATACAACGCAACACAATGGTACACACAACACAATGCTACCACACAACACAATGCTACACACAACACAATGCTACACACAACACAATGCTACAACACAACACAATGCTACAACACAACACTGCAAATTAAAATACAATTCAGGTAAAACGCAACACTACAGAATGCAATGCAATAAACAGTAAGTGATGCAACAAACAGAATTTCATGCAACACACAGAATGTAATGCAACATATAGAAGGCAATGCAACACCAAAAAATACCACTACTAATTATAACAATATAATACTGTACCAAATAACAGTGTCACGTGTCAAGTGAACTCAAAAGTAATCTTATAGGGAGGAAAAAGTGAAGGTAGGCCTATCTAGTGACGTCTTATAAACTGTTGTAAATAAATGAGGAAGTTTCTTGACGATATAAACAGTGACCGCAAGAAGTGTGTTTCCCATTTTCTATGTGACTGAAAAATATCCATAAGGGGGGTGACTATACAGTTAGTAGATCAGGATTAACTATGGCACCTAACCCAACTTAACATAATCCAGCCAAACCTAACCTAACCTAACTTAACCTAACCTATATATATTTTTTCTCTCATAATAATAATAATAATAATAATAATAATAATAATAATAATAATAATAATAATAATAATAATAATAATAATAATAATAACAATACTACTAATAATAATAATAATAATAATAATAATAATAATAATAATAATAATAATAACAATAATAATAATAATAATAATAATAATAATAATAATAATAATAATAATAATAATAATAATAATAATAATAATAATAAATAAATACAAAACTTAAAATTAAAAGGATCAATAGTGAGAAACAATATACTGTATGTATGTTGTGTTGTCAGAGTAAGAGAAACAATTGAGACCCAACAACTGTGTGTAAATGAGGCAGAAAGTCAGATCATCAACCTGTTCACGTTTATCCATTTTCATCTATTTTAAAGTTTACTCCATTCTGATCCCCTTACCTCATTCATCCCCCCATCTACCTTCTCTCTCTTTATATCACTTCCCTTCATTTTCTTCACTTCCCTCATCCTCTTGCCTCGTTTCCCCTCACCCACTTTGCCCCTCTTAACACTTCCCCTCGGGGCACTCCTATTGGCGGGCGCAGAACACAGGTGTGTAGTGATTAGCCTTGGTACACACCTGTCATTAAGGGCCTCTTGGGAAGAGGTAATCACCACACACACACACACACACACACACACACACACACACACACACACACACACACACACACACACACACCAAGAGATCGAACTCTATTACTCACACAGCCGCGTCAGGAGAGAGGGAAGGCTGGTGGCAACTTGTGGCAACCTGTCCTTGGTGGCAACTTGTGGCAACCTGTCCTTGGTGGCACCTTGTGGCAACCTGTCCTTGGTGGCAACTTGTGGCAACCTGTCCTTGGTGGCAACTTGTGGCAACCTGTCCTTGGTGGCAACTTGTGGCAACCTGTCCTTGGTGGCAACTTGTGGCAACCTGTCCTTCGTGGCACCTTGTAGCAGCCTGTCCTGGTGGCACCTTGTGGCAACTCCTGTCATGGTGGCACCTTGTGGCAACCGCTGTCATTGGTGGCACCTTATGGCAACCTGTCCTTGGTGGCACCTTGTCTTGGTGGCACCGTGGCAACCTGTCCTTAGTGGCACCTTGTGGCAACGTCATGAGTGGCACCTTGTGGCAACCTGTCAGGTGGCACCGTGTGGCAACCTGTCCTTGGTGGCACCTTGTGGCAGCCTGTCCTTGGTGGCACCTTGTGGCAAGCCTGTCCTTGGTGGCACCTTGTGGCAACCTGTCCTTCGTGGCACCTTATGGCAACCTGTCCTTGGTGCTTGGTAGCAACCTGTCCTTGGTGGCACCTTGTGGCAACTGTCTTTGGTGGCACCTTATGGCAACCTGTCCTTGGTGGCACCTTATGGCAACCTGTCCTTCGTGGCACCTTATGGCAACCTGTCTTGGTGGCAACTTCTGCTACGGCATCAGAAACCTTGTGTTGATGACTCTTAAGGCAACAGGTTTTGTGACGTGGAAAATATATAAAGTATAGAGGCGGGTGAGGGGGGGGGAGGTGAGGGGGTGAGGAGGTGAGGGGGGGTGAGGGTGAGGGTAGTGAGGGTAGATGGTGAGGGGTAGGTAATGGAGGGTTAGTGAGGTAGGGTACGAACAGCCACAACAGGTCACCTCAAACACCATCTTCGTGGAGTCAAGTCTTTCAACCACTCGAGAATCACATCTTGAATTTATTGAAACCTTCCGGGAAACATGAGGACGGAAGGTAATCGCTCATAAGGTCATCTGTCAGCCTACTAGACTGAACCACTCGCTCTGTCAGCCTAACCAAAATAAGACGTGTAATGAATCTTCCAACCACCACAACAACCACAACAACCACCACAACCACCACAACCACCACAACCACAACAACAATAATGGAAAGACAAGATTATGATTTGATTTTAGAGGCGAATAAAGGCAGCCATCTTGGAACCACCGCTGCCTGGACAGTCCCCCCTCTCTCTCTCTCTCTCTCTCTCTCTCTCTCTCTCTCTCTCTCTCTCTCTCTAAAATGGCCGTGGGTCAGGACGAGAGGGTAGTGGGCTGTGATTACGATGAATAAGGAGGGAGCGATCAATGGGGGAGGGAGGAGGGTTGTGTTGCTGCTTATGAGTGAGTTCTGTGTGTGTGTAGTGGTCACGTGTGTGTGTGTGTGTGGTTCTTGAGCGTGTGTGGTTGACCTCATTCATGGGTCATATCAGACAGTTAACCCAGGCCTAACAGAACAAGGCTGTGGTGTTGTGTGTGTGTGTGTGGTGTGTGCACACACACACACACACACACACACACACACACACACACACACTCCCACCCATAATGCCATTGTTGACACATCGTGTTTACAAAGTGATGCCTGGCTACGATAATACCCTAACTACTGATACCTGATGTATTAAGGTGGAATTGGCAGTTAAAGACCTTGGTTAGTGAACTGGGGAGGGAGGGGTGAGTTGGCAGGTCTTATATAATTTGATGTTCGTTAATGTAAACACAATCTGAGAGGAGGAGGAGGAGGAGGAGGAGGAGGAGGAGGAGGAGGAGGAGGAGGAGGAGGAGGAGGAGGAGGAGGAGGAGGAGGAGGAGGAGAAGAAGAAGAAGAAGAAGAAGAAGAAGAAGAAGAAGAAGAAGAAGAAGAAGAAGAAGAAGAAGAAGAAGAAGAAGAAGAAGAAGAAGAAGAAGAAGAAGAAGAAGAAGGAAGAAGAAGAAGAAGAAGAGGGAAGAAGAAGAAGAAGAAGAAGAAGAAGAAGAAGAAGAAGAAAGAAGAAGAAGAAGAAGAAGAAGAAGAAAAGAAGAAGAAGAAAGAAGAAAAGTAATACTAACCTGGAATAAGGAGATAATTGATGAATGAATTAAAGTGGGTTGACAACACAACAATAGGAAGCTTAACTCTCTCACTCTCTCTCTCTCTCTCTCTCTCTCTCTCTCTCTCTCTTCACTCTCTCACTCTCTCTCTCTTTACACTTTCTTTTGTCTCTTTTTTTGTTTCTTTTCTGACGCTATAAGACATATTTGTTTTCGCTGTTCAGAGGGTTCATTGTTTCCTTGAGTACGACCACTTAACCCTTTGGTGAACACTTAACCCCTTGAGTACGACGACTTAACCCTTTGAGTACGACCACTTAACCCTTTGAGTACGACGACTTAACCCCTTGAGTACGACGACTTAACCCTTGAGTACGACGACTTAACCCTTTGAGCACGACCATAACTTGAGTACGACGACAACCCTTGAGGTACGACGACTTAACCCTTTGAGTACGAACACTTAACCCCTTGAGTACGACGACTTAACCCTTTGAGTACGACCATAACCCTTGAGTACGACGACTTAACCCTTGAGTACGACGACTTAACCCCTTGAGTACGACGACTTAACCCTTTGAGCACGACCACTTAACCCTTGAGTACGACGACTTAACCCTCTCGGGTACGACGACTTAACCCTTTGAGCACGCGACCACTTAACCTTGAGTACGACGACTTAACCCTTTGGTACGACCATAACCCTTTGAGCACGACCACTTAACCCCTTGAGTACGACGACTTAACCCCTTGAGTACGACGACTTAACCCTTTGAGCACGACCACTTAACCTTGAGTACGACGACTTAACCCTTTGGGTACGACCATAACCCTTGAGGCACGACCACTAACCCCTTGGTACGACGACTTAACCTTGAGTACGACGACTTAACCGCTTGAGCACGACCATAACCCCTTGAGTACGACGACTTAACCTTGAGTACGACGACTTAACCCTTTGAGTACGACCACTTAACCCCTTGAGTACGACGACTTAACCCTTTGAGTGCGACGGCTTAACCCTTTGAGTACGACGACTTAACCCTTGAGTACGACGACTTAACCCTTTGAGTACGACGACTTAACCCTTGGTAGCGATTTGACCTATAACAGCTCATGAGGTGACGACTTAACCCCTTTGAGTACGACGACTTAACCCCTTTAGTATGCACGTCTTATAAACACTTCCTCTGAAATACGACTACCTAAACAAGCTGATTATTTCTGAATATTTTCCTCTGCGGGTCCAGTAACCTCAGAAGTAAAGTTTACTGCCACAGACCTGCAGACTGAGAGCAGGGGCGAACATTCAGCAGACACCTTCCTCCCCAGCTGTCATAGGAGAACCATTCAATAGGTAAATGAAATAACGATCAGCTGTAACTCAGAAATTCTAGTGGGTAAACATTGAGACATATGACATCACCAAATAATTAGCAACATATTGAAAAGCTAAGTGGATATTTTAGCTGTACAATGTTAAGTGAATGTTTTAGCTGTACAATGTTAAGTAAATATTTTAGCTGTACAATGTTAAGTGAATATTTTAGCTGTACAATGTTAAGTGAATATTTTAGCTGTACAATGTTAAGTGAATATTTTAGCTGTACAATGTTAAGTGAATATTTTAGCTGTACAATGTTAAGTGGATATTTTGGCTGTACAATGTTAAGTGAATATTTTAGCTGTACAATGTTAGTGAATTTTTAGCTGTACAATGTAAAATGTCATACATATTAGTATGATGTCTTATTAGCTGTGTCTATAAATTTTGGCTACTTACGGTGTTTATACGTAATTCTATCATTATTATTATTATTATTATTATTATTATTATTATTATTTTACTATTACTATTATTATTGTTAGAACCAAAAGTTTACACGTTAATTTTTTATAAACCACATAAAGCTGGTTTAATGATCGACCAATTACTCCTTGTTTGGCTGCCAGTTCTGTCGTTAACCCCCCTCCATCCTTCCTCCTCCAAATGACCCAAACGAGAGACGAGTGATTTGCCTTTACGTACGGCTGGAAAATTGCGACTAAATCTTCCTCCTTCCGTCTCAGCCACCCCCGCGTCTGGGTCCAGGTATAAACAAGGCGATTTCAGGATTAACTCTCATTAATCCACAAAGTCACTCGATTACACCTGGATTTATTACAATATATTCAACGTGTTTTTTTGTGTTTTTTTACCTTTAATAATCTTTCACACACGTGGTCTATGTTTAAGTATTAAGATGATGAAAGAAATGTGTGTGTGTGTGTGTGTGTGTGTGTGTGTGTGTGTGTGTGTGTGTGTGTGTGTGTGTGTGTGTGTGTGTGTGTGTGTGTGTGTGGTGAAGGTGTTGTTATGGTGTTTTTGATGTTTTTTTTATAATGTTTATTTATTTGTCTGTCTGTCTGTCAGTCTGTCTATTCGTTCATCTTCTCTCTCTCTCTCTCTCTCTCTCTCTCTCTCTCTCTCTCTCTCTCTCTCTCTCTCTCTCTCTCTCTTACCTCAGGACAGTGTTGCTGCACCTTAGGTTATAATTCATAAAAAAATAAAAATCAAATATAAGTGACGGAAGACAAGAAAATGGGCCATTCTTAGGCGATTAAGGTCAAGCAAGGTCACTGAGGTGGTGCTGCTGGAGGTCTAGTGAGCCTGACGTCATTCTTTCGTTGACGTCATTACTTGTGACGTCATTACTTTAGTGAGGTTGATGTCATTACTTTGGTGGGAGTGACGTCATTATTTTTTATTGCATTAGTCTATTTTAATCTAATTTGCCATCCATTATTTTGTCTCCCTGTGTGTGTGTGTGTGTGTGTGTGTGTGTGTGTGTGTGTGTGTGTGTGTGTGTGTGTGTGTGTGTGTGTGGCATCTATTTTTTTATTTGGGCATTTTTTGTAAACTATATTGCAGGTGTTTTATGTACACACACCACATTATCCTTTTCACACCTGATCGTAACACGCTAACGGCCAATAATCATTGACGTTCTTAAACTTCTTGGGTTGAGATGGACAGTGGAGTTCTTAGTGAGGTTCCGTAAAGTGTTTCAGTAAGACCTCAACCAATAGCACCGTCGTATATGATTAGAACGTGTTTTGATTGGATGTGTATACAAGCGTTCAGTAAGACCTCAACCAATAGCACCAATAGGGACTTAAGACCGTCGTACAAGACCCCAACGTGTTTTGATTAGGTTTTGGATTTGTTGTAACAAGTTTTGGACATGTATAGAGTCATATACTATACAGTATGTTTGGTGACAGTGACAAAAGCATACAACAAGATTTAACATTTTGTTTCAACGGGACGCAAGTAGTGTCAACAAGTGGCGCTCGTCTAAAACCGTCTAAAGTCGCCTAAACACGTTTAACTCGTCTAAAACATCTAAACTCGTCTAAACACGTTTAAACTCGTCTAAAACGTCTAAACTCGTCTAAACACGTCTAAACTCGTCTAAAAACGTCTAAACTCGTCTAAACACGTCTAAACTCGTCTAAAAACGTCTAAACTCGTCTAAAGACGTCTAAACTCGTCTAAACTCGTCTAAAACGTCTAAACTCGTCAAAAACGTCTAAACTCGTCTAAACACGTCTAAACTCGTCTAAAGACGTCTAAACTCGTCTAAAACGTCTAAACTCGTCTAAACACGCCTAAGAC